CAGAAACAAAAGACGTAATATTATTTTGCGTGTTTTTAAGAAACTTATTCTTAGGTGTAAAACGGGCTTAAATACTGCTTGAACAAGAATATGTGATGAAATCAGGAGCAGCCGGGCTTGCGATTGCGACAGAGGCAGCGGTGGGGGTCAGAGACGCAAACGCCGCTAATGGCTCCTTCGTACTTGCACAAGTTGTCGCAAAGGCCTTCTCCCGCACCTTTTAACCAGCACGGGAAGTTTGGTAGAAGCTTGCACTCCCACTCACACTTTTGCGCTTGCGCGTCTCCTTGCTCCATCAATCCTATATGTATACACAGCAATTAAATATATGATGTTATTCCAGATCGGGTTGCAGTTTGATTGAGAGTATGCATGTACCTGTGGAAACCAATAAGAATACGAGGATTATGGCTGAGAAGCTGATCGTCTTCCTCATTTTTTTGTTTCTTATGTTTCGTTGACTTTTAGGTTTAGTGCTACACCAAAGAAGAACATGTCAATCAAAAACGAACGCATGATTATATATAGATGACGTGCGGAGACACACCCGCGGCTCCTTCAGCTCTATTCTCCGTTAATTAATTTCTCCTTGAAACCCGCTTACTTGTGAATAAAGTAATCTTCTCTGATTTATATTTGCCAACCTTATGATCCTGATGTTTTTGGGTTTAAGCGTTTAGAATAACGTTTTTGATTCGTTCGTCCACACGTCCTTATCGTATGATCTGTTAATTTGATATGCATATTTACAGAAACGGGCCCTAGTGCTTGTTGTTGAATATGGGCCTGGTCTGGCCCATATTACTATCTCAGAAGTTAGATCAGAAGCTTGACCCGAAAAAGAAAAAAACGAGAGAGATAATTCGGAAACACGAACACCAATGGTTTACCGATGATGATGATGATTGGACAATGGCTACATAAATGGAATACGCGGTAACTAACATGAGACTACTGAGTAACATGATGTACTCTGCTTCGGCGATTTCGTTTCCAAGGGTTCGTCTGCATTGTAGTATTCCGACAGAGCTATCCTGCCGGAGAAACCCATTCCGACAGAGCAATCAGCCCGTCCAAGTCCCTTCTCCGAAGCTCGCTTGTTTCGACGGAGTCCTAACTGAAGATTTTCAACGGCTGGACGTCAGCGAAAACAACTCTCCAGTCGAAGCCTTTGCCTACGTTCTCGAGCTTTGTGGTAAACGTAGAGCTGTCTCACAAGGTCGGCAGCTGCATTCGCGCATTTTCAAGACTTTCCCCTCTTTCGAATTAGATTTTTTGGCCGGCAAGCTTGTTTTTATGTACGGTAAGTGCGGGTCTCTGGATGACGCAGAGAAAGTGTTTGACGAAATGCCTGACAGAACTGCCTTTGCGTGGAATGCCATGATTGGAGCTTATGTTTCGAATGGTGAACCTGCTTCCGCTCTTGCTCTCTACTGGAATATGCGTGTGGAGGGCGTTCCTCTCGGTCTTTCCTCTTTTCCCGCCTTGCTTAAAGCCTGCGCCAAACTTAGAGATATCCGAAGTGGCTCTGAGCTTCATTCTCTCCTCGTTAAACTTGGCTACCATTCAACTGGTTTTATCGTCAATGCGTTGGTTTCCATGTATGCTAAGAACGATGACCTTAGCGCTGCAAGGCGTCTGTTTGACGGATTCCAAGAGAAAGGAGATGCTGTTCTCTGGAATTCTATTTTGTCTTCATATTCCACGTCTGGGAAATCTCTCGAGACTTTAGAATTATTCAGAGAAATGCACATGACTGGCCCTGCCCCCAACAGCTACACCATTGTTTCTGCTCTCACAGCCTGTGACGGTTTTTCATATGCAAAGCTAGGGAAAGAGATCCACGCTTCTGTCCTCAAATCATCAACTCACTCTTCTGAATTATATGTGTGCAACGCCTTGATTGCAATGTATACCAGGTGTGGTAAAATGCCTCAGGCAGAAAGGATCCTTCGTCAGATGAATAACGCTGATGTTGTCACATGGAATTCTCTGATTAAGGGATATGTACAGAATCTCATGTACAAGGAGGCTTTAGAGTTCTTTTCTGATATGATCGCTGCTGGCCACAAACCCGACGAGGTTTCAATGACCAGCATCATTGCAGCGTCAGGAAGATTAAGCAATCTCTTGGCAGGAATGGAATTGCACGCTTACGTGATTAAACATGGCTGGGATTCTAATTTGCAGGTTGGGAATACGTTGATTGATATGTATTCAAAGTGCAACCTCACATGTTACATGGGCCGTGCGTTTCTTAGGATGCATGACAAAGATCTTATTTCATGGACTACGGTCATTGCCGGTTATGCCCAGAATGATTGTCATGTAGAGGCCTTAGAACTCTTCCGGGATGTTGCTAAGAAAAGGATGGAGATTGATGAAATGATCCTGGGAAGCATCCTTCGAGCTTCTAGTGTACTGAAATCCATGCTCATTGTCAAAGAAATCCATTGTCACATTTTGAGAAAAGGTTTACTTGATACTGTGATACAGAATGAGTTGGTAGATGTCTACGGAAAATGCAGGAACATGGGCTATGCTACTCGAGTATTTGAATCAATTAAAGGTAAAGATGTTGTCTCTTGGACAAGCATGATTTCGTCTAGTGCTCTTAATGGTAATGAAAGCGAGGCTGTTGAACTCTTTCGACGCATGGTTGAAACTGGTTTGTCAGCTGATTCTGTAGCATTGTTGTGTATACTGTCAGCTGCAGCAAGTTTATCTGCACTAAATAAAGGGAGAGAAATTCATTGCTACTTACTCCGAAAGGGGTTTTGCCTAGAGGGGTCCATTGCAGTTGCAGTTGTTGACATGTATGCATGCTGTGGAGATTTACAGAGTGCAAAGGCTGTATTTGACCGGATAGAAAGGAAAGGTTTGCTGCAATACACAAGTATGATCAATGCATATGGAATGCATGGCTGCGGAAAAGCAGCTGTTGAGTTGTTCGATAAAATGAGGCACGAAAACGTCTCGCCCGATCACATTTCATTTCTGGCACTTCTTTATGCGTGCAGCCATGCAGGTCTGCTTGACGAGGGTAGAGGGTTTCTCAAGATCATGGAACATGAGTATGAATTGGAACCATGGCCTGAACATTACGTGTGTCTGGTTGACATGCTGGGTCGTGCAAATTGTGTAGTGGAAGCCTTTGAATTCGTTAAAATGATGAAAACAGAACCGACTGCAGAAGTCTGGTGTGCACTCCTTGCGGCATGCCGATCTCACTCAGAGAAAGAAATTGGAGAGATTGCTGCTCAGAGGCTCCTTGAGCTAGAACCTAAGAATCCGGGAAATCTTGTGCTTGTATCTAATGTCTTTGCTGAACAAGGAAGATGGAACGATGTAGAAAAAGTGAGGGCAAAAATGAAAGCAAGTGGAATGGAGAAACACCCTGGATGTAGTTGGATTGAGATGGACGGCAAGGTTCATAAATTTACAGCCAGAGACAAGTCTCACCCAGAGAGCAAAGAGATATATGAGAAATTGTCCGAGGTTACTAGGAAGTTGGAGAGGGAAGTAGGTTATGTAGCCGATACAAAGTTCGTTCTGCATAATGTAGATGAAGGGGAGAAGGTTCAGATGCTGCATGGACATAGTGAGAGGATAGCGATTGCTTATGGTCTGCTCAGAACACCTGACCGAGCCTGTCTACGGATCACAAAAAATTTACGTGTCTGTAGAGATTGCCATACTTTTTGTAAGCTGGTCTCTAAATTATTCAGACGAGACATTGTGATGAGGGATGCCAATAGATTTCATCATTTTGAAAGTGGACTGTGTTCTTGCGGAGATTCTTGGTGACCGAACCTTGACAAAGCATATGTTTATCAATCCAGACCAAGATTATTATGTTATTAGCTACACATAGCTTTCACAGGTTTGCATATGGCTATTTGCATGTGTCCCACCAAGAGAAACAAATGAAGTCGTCATGCGAATGATGCCTTTTTTTTGCACCATAGAAGGGAAAGAGAGAGCTAGCAAGGGAATTCAACGCAAGAGAGAAGATGGAGACCTGATTAAGAGGAAAAAAGTTAAGGCCTATCAGCAATTAAAAGCAGGAAGCAGAGACCTAGACACCAAGGTAGGGATAGAGTCGTCTAACTAGGCTGTTCAGCAGAGACCTTGTAAGCCTTTTGAGAGTAAATGTTTTCAAGACACTCATTTCTCTTTTCTCTTTGTGGTTACATCTGCTTTTAAACGCACACCTACCAAACCGGTGGATGAATCTTTCATAGATACACCTCTATCCCTTTGCATTCAAACACAAACCACAAAGTACCGCTGCTATTTTCTTTTTACGTCTTTGTATTTGCCTCGTCTAAGAGAATGATGGGTTGTTTTGTGGGATTTTAATGCAGGAGGAAACATATGAGGGGTGATTAAGGCAAAAACCTTAAGATGTGGTCATTTAGATACATGGAGTCAAACTAAGAATGGACCTTGGCGAAAGCTTCTTCACGGTCAAGATTTAAAATCAGGTACGACACTGTGTACGTGAGAGAGAGAGAGAAAGAGATTATAGAAAGAAAGAGATGTATCACAATAAAGGAGTATATTTAGGGTCACAGGTGGTGGAGATATAGGTATGCAGGGCCGAGGCTCTAATCTCTTCATAGCCCTATTGATTTTGTCCCTCTCTCTCTCTCTTTCTTCCTCTCTTAGCTGTATGCATTATGATGCGTCTTTTAATTCACTGTTTCAGGCTTCTTTAATTCGTGGTGTCTCTCTCCTTTTTACCCAACCATCTCTTTAAATTTTTAACATCTGTTCCTCAAATCCTCTCTCATCTCTTTCTATAAGTATCTATAGCGCCTCTTAAACCACAAAGCATCACCTCTGTCTTCTCTCATCTCCTTTCTGTATTCTCTTTCATTGCCTTCACGTCTGTTGCAATTTCTCCACTTCTTGAGCTTCCGTTTTTTACAATTATTGATCCGTCAAATATGTGAGATTTGCACAACTTGTTGCTCAGGTATTTTGAAGACAAGTCCACAAGGGAACAAGTGAAGCTGCCAGCATGATCTATCTTTGGTTAAGAGATGAATGTGGAAACATATTGCTTAAACCCAAGCTAGGTCATGCTCTGACAGCCTCACTCCTTCCTGGTTTAGGACCATTCATTGATGAAGCATTCCACATGCCGATTGAAAGAAAAATAAGAGTCCCGAACGCACACAGTTGACTACACGAAACCGGTGTAAGGCTCTCTGTTTTCTCCCTGCTTTGACACACTCTCCACTTTATTTTTCTCATGTTTTTGCGCTCTAGATCTATCATAGGTGCATCATGTTTTAGTGTTTCAAAGAACTTAGACTGTGCAAAGCCAAACGTTTTAATAAAAAGGAAAACAGTTTAATACCAAAATGGTGTCTCTCACTCAATTACAAGACAAAGTATACCTTTCACAAGTTTGACCAAAACGAACTACTATAACCCTTATTTCAAGACAGTGTACTTCTAGCATACATACTTAGTTTAAAATGTACAGACGACGTAGCTTTAAAATGTACAGACAGTGTAATTTACCCTTGCCACTGCTGTAAGTAAATAAACCAAAATTACACTTTACTATTCACCAATGGCTACCCCAAAGCTCAAATTCACAATTCTTTTTCCTTTATTTTCCTAAGCCATCAACATAACATTTTGAACCAATTTAGTAGTGTCGTGTTATGTTTCCATAGACGTGAACTGAAAAGCCAACTTGTTGCAGCAGTTTGAAAGAACTTTGAAGCCAGTGACCATAACCTCGTGTTCCACGACTCTTTTGATCAGAAGCAGAAGCATCTCTTGGTGGGGAACCATCAAGGTTTCAGATTTGACCCTTTTGATCGTTCAAGGGAGCTGGAAGTTATCTTATCAGACGAGTCCCACTCTGTGCTCCTGATCATCAATTATCCAGCCATCCGTAGAGAACTGCATCTGCTATGGTAGGCTTCTCAAGGTTTCTTGAGAGATGGGCTTCTTGAACCCTTAAATAAGGATCTTGGATTCTTAAAGTAACTGAGGAATGGTGTCTCAGAAACAGGTATGAATTTTGTGAAAAAGCCGATCGGCCATGAAAGGGATGCAAGTGCTATGCAAGTTCCCCATTGCCACCCGTTAAGCCTTACTGTATCCGCAAACTTCTTTAGGAATTCCACCATAATGACTTGAAGCACAATAGTTATCGCTATTATTCCAATGAACAACCTGTTTCTGTGAAGGCCTTTGAACACATTTTTCTTCTCCATCTCCCTCGCATTGAATTCGTTAAAAACTTGACAGAGCACGAAAGTGTTGAATATGAGCGTGTCCTTCACTTCCTTGCGAACACTGAATATTGACATACCCTTGAATTGTAAGATCAAGAGTACGGCTATTTGATATAATGACTGAACCAGGAGATTCCTCCACATGACATTTGTTATCAGGGCCTCTGTTCGGCCAACTGGCTTTCTCTTCAGGAGCTCGTTAGTGGGTCGCTCCGTGGCGAGAGCCAGAGCTCCCAATGTGTCCATGATGAGGTTTACCCACAGCAGTTGAACTGCTGTCAAAGGGACCTCACCGGCTGAAATTGCTGCGATAAAATTGATCACAAGAGCTGCAACGTTCACTGTTAGCTGAAACTGAATGAATTTCTGGATATTGTTGTAGACACACCTTCCCCATTTTAAGACTGTGGCAACGGATGCGAAGTTATCATCTAGAATTACAATGTCTGAGCTTTCTTTTGCCACTTCAGTGCCCTGAATTCCCATAGAGAGTCCAATATCTGCTTCTTTTAGTGCAGGTGCATCGTTGGTGCCATCCCCTGTGACGGCTACCACATGGCCTTTAAGTCTCAGACACTTGACCATTAGAAGCTTGTCGGAGGGAGAGGACCTTGCCATGACCCGGATCTTATCAACTTTCTGCATTCTCTCTTCGTCCGTATAATTTCTGAATTGAACACCTTCTACAACAGCATCTTCTTCATCTTTGTCATTGTGGTCGAGGATTCCGCATTCAAAAGCGATAGCTTTTGCAGTGAAAACATTATCTCCCGTTATCATCTTAATGGTGACTCCTGCAAGTTTGCAAGTTTCCACAGCTTTTGAGACACCAGGTCGACAAGGATCTTTCAGACCCACTATTCCCATCAAGGTCAAGCCATCTTCCTCTAATACCGAGTCATTTGACGCTATTTTATGAGCGAATGCTATGCATCTGAGGCTACTGGCCGCCATACCTTGGATTATTGCCTGAATTCTGCTCTTTGCGGTGGAGTCCATTAAGTCAACAGACCCAGTGCTTGTGTAGTAGTGAGAACACATAGCTAGGACCATTTCAGCGGCTCCTTTCCAGTGTACATGGACTGTATTGTCAGATTTTCTTCGGACCAAAACTCCGCTTCTTTTCTTTGCTGAACTGAAAGTTTCAACGCGGAGAACTTCATGTTTCTGCTTTACTGACTCCATATCCATACCCAGATTTAGCACAGTCCAAGACAAGAGGGCCTTCTCTGTTGGACTGCCTGAGAACTCAGGCGTTGATCCTGAGTCTGACACACAGACACTTCCCGTTGTGTTCAGACCGGTGCCTTGGTAAAGCAGATCAAGAACGTCTGGTGAGATCATTTTGGTAGAGTCTTCATGGATTGACTCTTGGCCAAGCCAAAACTTGGTAACCTTCATCTCGTTCAGTGTTAAAGTACCTGTTTTGTCTGTGCATATCACTGTCGCTGAGCCCATCGTCTCGCATGCCGAGAGCTTTCTGACCATAGCTTGATCAGACATCATTCTCTTCATGGAGTAAGCCAGCGTCAGAGTCACAGCCAATGGCAAGCCTTCTGGGATAGCTACTACGACAATGGTTACTGCAGCTGCCACGATTCGCACAACGGAATTGACCACAGTGTCCACAGGTGTTTTGCTCCCGTTGTATTCTCTTTTGCCCTCTTTCTCTGTGTTCCCAGTGAAGTAACGGACTAATAGAACTACCAGAACAAGTGCTGCCACCGTAAGACCAATTTTTCCGATGGTGGAGGTCAGCGTGTCAAGACGGACTTGCAAAGGTGTTCTCTCGCTGGAATCTTGATTTATGGAGCTCATCGTCTGTCCCCAGGTTGTACTCATACCCACAGAGACAACGAGCATTTGAGCAAACCCATCGACTATCTTTGTCCCTGAGAACAAGAAGGGATTATCCTTGTGGTCCACTTCAAGATGGTCACTCTCTCCTGTCATACTAGACTCGTCCACCTGAAGTGAATGCCCTTCCAAGAACAGACCATCAGCGGGAATCTGATCTCCGATCTTCAAGAAGACAACATCACCAACAACAACGTCAAAGATGGAGATATGTTGCCGCCTGCTGTCCCGAAGGACTTCCACTTTGATGTTATTGCTTATCTTGGACAGCTTGTCGAACTGTCTCTCCTGCCTAAAGTTGCTGAGAGCAGAGACAACTATGACCAAGAAGACTGCTACAAAGATGCTTCCGCCTTCATACCAACCTTCTTTGATGCCATGTTCTTTGATACCGAAGCCAAGGGAGAAAATAGCGCAGACCAACAAGATCAAGATGGTTAGGTCTTTGAAAGCTTCATACACAAAGAAGAGAAGTCCTTTAGGCGGTGGCTTATGGTAGGTGTTAGAGCCAAAGAGGTCACGGCGTCTACTGACTTCTTGCTCATTCCCGTGGATCCCTTTGGTGGGGTTAGTCCTAAGGGAAGCGGCGACACCCTCCACGCCGCCCAGCGCTTGGATGCCCGGTAAGTCCTTACCCTTCATGATCTCCACAAGTTGTTCTTGATCAATGGCAGGAACGTAAGAGAGAGGCATAGAGTTGATCTTTGCTCCCTCACCGGACTCGAGGGCTGTGTAGGAGAGAGAGAGAGAGGCATCTGAGGTTTTGGGATCAATCCTTGCGGGAACTATCTCCTTAACAAGAGAGAGCATAGCCCTCATAGAGTAGATGGCAGCGTAGGCAAAACGCCAACGCCTCTGGGCCTTGTTGAGGCTGGAGGTGGTAAGGTTGAGCAAAAGTGCACTGTAATCATATTCCTTGAGGTCCCTCATGCTTTATTTGTGTGAAAGAAAGAGAGTTTTTAGAAGGAAAAGAGTCTCGCTCTCTCTCAACTAAATGTGGTGTTACTTGTAAGACACTTAAGACTCGCAAAGAATGATTTCTCTCTCTCTAATACCCTAAGCTTCGTGGTACTATTTAAATCCGTATTGGCCGCCTTTTGATTGCTATTTATCTGCTTTAAAATATTAAATATCTCGTGTAAAGTAACTTGTCCTAGTTTAATATTTTCAGGCGGTGGAACCACTCAGAAACGTTGTAAACACGAAGTCATGTCGATCAAAGGACATGGGCCGCACATCCTTTTGTACTTGTGTTTTGACTTACCTGTTGTCTCGTGTTTCGGTTTGGAACCACTGTGCCCTAAAAGAGAGAGTTAATCTGAGATTTTGGTAGTAATTTCTAAAGCAGCCGTATGATGTAATGGTGTGGACAAGCCGTCATTGTAGAATGAGGAGCAATAGCGTGCGTGTACCAACTTGCTTAGTCCGCACGGACAAATGAAAAGAAATGGCGAATATAGTAAAGCGAAAGAAGAAAAAAAGGATTTAGATTGAATCTTCCACACCAACTTGGTTTGGTATAATATCTATCAAGTGAAATTTATACTACTCAAACTCAAAATCCGTCTACTTTTCCACAAATCTATGTTTAGAAATAATAAAATGGAGCAGCGTGTACGACGAAGGCATTATGAGTTTGATCACCGAAACTTCGTAGCACTTTCCATTTTTCGCTGTCATCTCTTTCTTTGTTCATGTGACGACAGCAAGACATAAAAGCAGTTGACTTTATTTTTATAAACAAACAAAATAAGTTGACCTCCACTAAAACTAGACGTGAGGTGAGACCAGATTTGGCATAAAATTCCGATACAAGCGATGAAGTGAATGTCGAGAAACTCCTCAAATCATATACATACATACACAGAGAGGCTCAGTGACATACATTAGATCACGAGTTACTGTATGTGGATAAGAAAGAAACAAGAGTGTTTGCACCAAAAGCAGTAGCAAGCTTAACAAAATCCCAACCAACAAATACAATGGCTTGCTCGAG